TCCTGCTTGGGCTCCGATGGGGCTGGCGGGCTAGCGAGGTTGGCGGGGCTCGAGGCTGCTGCCTTGCTACCGGGTGCCGCTTTGGAGGACTCGGCCACGCTAGCGACAGCGCTGGGGCTGAGCACTGCGCCTGGGTTGGCCAGGACACTCGAAGACAAATTATTGGCAGCTGCAGGAGAGCTCGGGGTCTCACTGAGATCAACAAGGGGGGCCACCTTGGGGGTGGAGGAGGGCGGTGGCGAAGAGACGGGGGCGGCCGCCCCTTTGGCTGGAGCGGGCTGGCTAGGCGACATGGAGGTGGAGTCGGGAGTGGCTGTGGCTGGCGGGGCAATACTGGAAGTCAGTGTAGTGGTCTCACTGGTGGGACTGTTCTGAGCAGTGGCAAAGGTTTCAGTGATAGTGTCAGAGTTAGTGGTGCCCGTGGTTACAGAAGGCAGCATGTCCTCAACAGCAGCCGCGGTATCGGCAGGGTGCCTGTGAAGAGGACGGGAGCAGAAGAGAGAGAGAGAGAGAGAGAGAGAGAGAGAGAGAGAGAGAGAAAGAGAGAGAGAGAGACATTGAAGCCCATAAATGACAGCAGGGGAAAGGGAAACAGAACACAGGTGTGAGAAGGCAGCTGGGTGGCACAGCAACAGCAGCAGCAGCAGCAGTAGCAGGGCGTGTGGTTACAGTGCACACAGAGAACGCGGAGGCAAAGGAGGAGAAGCCCTTCAGAAGTCAAATGCACAGTGAGCAACAGGTGCTCCCTAGGGAGACCAGAAAGCAACCCGGAAGAGCAGAAAGAGCAGAGGACACGTCCCTCAGGAATGGCTGGTTTGCGCGGATTTTGGCTAAAGTCCCGGCCAAACGTCACCCCAACTGGCAATCTTTAAAAGGACTCTTCTCTTTTAGTCCACCTTCCCTCCTCGGCCTCTTCCACCCAACCTCACAACGACGCGTTCTCCTCATTCCTCAGGCACGCAGACCCGTGCCAAGTCTCACCACAGGCCCCTGTGCAGGCGCCTGAAGCCAGTCCCCTGCCTTGCCCCTGCCTTCTGATGCAGGTCAGCTGGAGTCAACGTTGTGCCAGAGATGATACAAATGCACAGAAATGTCTCCACTTTTCGGTCAGCTGCTACCCCACTGCTTTTCAGCAACTCTTCCCCTTATCATCCCCCAAGGCATATGATGCTTAAACCTTGCCTATCCCAACCAGCACTGGTACACAGATGCAGGTCTGCACAAGTTCTCTGACAGAAAGCCCATGTGAAGGTCTCAATCCCGGCCCATCTCGAGGAATAGCGGGACTCGCCATGCCCCCCTCGGCACTCAGAGCACAGCTCCCCTGTTGCTATCAGGGCAGATGGGTGCTGTGACAACGGTGTGTTCTCACACGCGTCGGGCACGCTAGAGGAGAGCTCAGCCGGGACGCGCTTTCAGCTCGGGGCTGCTTTCGCTCTAGATCCCTTTCAGTGGCTGATCTACACTCTGGACACAACCGGCAGAGTTCCAAGCAGCAGCCCTTCGTTCTCCTTCCTGCTCTTCCAGTGCTGGAAAGGGAAGAGTCGCTAGATCTGGGGGAAGATGGGAGAGATGTCTTTGCTGCTGTGTCAGACATTGCGAGGGGAGATTGCCTCCTCTCTTCCTGCTCTGAGTCACGTACACGAGAGATCAGGGGTTAAGGCACCCGAGGACACCGAAGCGCCCCTGAACTAAGCTTGCCCGATATCAACATACTCTGGCTCCGTCAGCGGTGTGGTCTCATTGGGCTCTGTATGTTTTCCCCCGTCGTGGTTGGGGGTTCGCTCCTCTTCAGTCCGCACCTCCACAATAGGCTCCTTGGACTCATCTTTCCTGTAACAAAGGAATTGCAGGGAAATCGGTTCCTGTTCACACGAGAAATCCTCTAGCAGAGCCACGTCTCAAACAGACAGCACTTTGACAGAAGACTTGGGCAGGAACAGGTGGGCCTCAGCAGCAGCTTAGTTTTTGGTCACTCCCCCTTCCAATCGTTGCCTACAGCAAAAAGAACTGTCGTGTCCAACACTTGGATCGGCCATTTGCTGGCCTCTGTCAGCAACGGGGCAGGAGCAAAACAAAACACTGGGACCCAGCGATCGAGGACGGAGAGGAAAGAAGCAATGACAGTACTCACGAGAAGGCGGCTTTACCCTCCTCCATGTCTTTGCCCTTGGCTCCCGGGCCAGATTTCCCGCATAAGTTGACAGCAATGCACATCAGCAGGCCACACTTGTTCAGGAAATAACAGGTGACATCCACAGCCACCAGGAGCAGCACAAAGATGACAATGAGGATGCCTACGATGGCGGCAGTCCCAAGGCCTGATGTGGGGCTAGTGCTGGCTTTAGAGATCAAAAAAGAAGAAAATAAGGCATTATACTCAAAAACAAGGGTAGGTGGGGCTAGCTATGACTCCACACTGGCTATGCCGAGGTGGGTAAGCCTGCACATCTACAGGAATAGCCCCACTTCACTAAGAGCTTCATGTTGCCACCAGTACTTTATCCTAGAGACACTTGGTACAACTTGGTGCCGCGTCCCACATCTCTTTCGGGCTACGACCTAGAAACCCAACTACCTAACATGCTTCTGCTGTGGTACATACCCAACTGAAAAAGGGGGTTCCTGCTCCCTTCCACCACCCACTTCTTCCCCTCCCCAGGCAGAAGGGTGTCCAGAAAGACTCACAGCATCCTGGAAACAAAGCCTGGGCTCTGCAGTGGGGCTTGCCCTCTGCAGGGACGCAGAGGAAATGCTTGCGGGGCCACCCTGTTGCTTAGCCCCCAGTTCAGCTAGCCGGCTGCCTCAGCAGACTTGATTAAGAGTAGGGGTCTTGGAAGGACCTGCCAGTCTCTCAGGATGTTCTTGCTCCCAGGCAAGCACTCATGTGCACAATGCCTCCCAAGTCCGAGCACGTGAGGTCAGCTTCCACCAGCCCCAAAGAGGCCAAGGCACAACCCTCGGCAGAGACAGACGGGCATCTCCCCGCATTCAGCGATGTGAGCGAGGCACGCAGCCAAACTGCGCCTCGCAGGTCCCGGCCCCACAGGAGCAGCCAGACTTGCTAAAGGGTCCCTCCTCCCCAGGCCATGCTCAAAAGCCACGGAAACGGGAAGGTCTGCCAACTCCCACCAAGGAATAGCTCGAAACAAAGTGGTGCGAGACCTGTGCTGGAAAGGAGGGCTAGTAGTTCCTGAAGGAGAGAGAGCTGCACTAAACCCCGGATCCCATCAACCTCCTTCCCTCAAGGGAGGGACATGCATGGCTAAGCGCACAGAGCGCGGTGCGCAGTGCAGTGCATGCAGTGGCAGCAGGCACCGCTGCAGGACAGTCACAACCGTAAGATCTGTGTGAACGAAAATTTGAGTGTGTCCTCTAGGAAGCGGCCAGGCAATAAGCAACGAAAGCCACCAGAGAGGCAAGAGACTTCAGCTCACACACATCCTAGCATGCAGTTTAACGGAATTTCAAGCTGATATCTGAAACGCTGAACTTTGAAGATTCCAGAGTTTGAAGACAGGCATTTACCTATGCAATGCAAACCTCCACTTTTCTGGTGGTTAAGGCCCGTTTATCTGGCTGTCTAGAGTAAGCCCTCTAGAATCAGCGAGTGAAACACTAGTAGGACAAGATGATCTAGCAGCTGCAAAACCGCCCGTTTGACTGCTTAGTTACAACTTCCTCTGACACCTTCGTTCCATGTTACGCTAGTGAGACCTGACCAGCCCCTGCTGAGAAAAACTCTTAGGACCTCATGACTCATACGTGGTCTGCAACCTGTCAAGGCTCTCGTTTCCTCAGTGATATTGTCACAGGCACCTACAGGAGGAACAGTTATACTGAGACAAAAATCTGGAACCCCACACCAAATGTCACACTCAGCCAAACTTGAGTTTTACAGGCGCTGTTATCTGTCACAGACATCATGGGCAGCTTTGAAATAGCAACGCAGCGGAGTCTAGGTAGGTGTCTTTGATTCCGCCAGAAATCAGGTTTTGGACTCCACTCTTCTCCACAGCAGGGCAGCGGTGGCTCTTCCTTCGGCTTCTTGCTGTATGTTCTTACCTCATCCTTATTTCCTCCTCTGATAGGAGATGACAGCAGAAATGAACAGAGCTTTGTCTGGTTCAGCATCTGAGGAACAGAAGAAAGGAGGACGAAATCTCCTTCTTCCTTCTCACGTGGTTCTGGAACACAGGCAATTTCTCCACGTACTAGAAGACATCTTGGCAAAATGTTCTCTCTGGTGACGCCTACTCTGTTGTCTCTCCCAACCTTGCAAGTCCTTGCCAGCATTAGCTATAAGATCCCTAGGTCGGGAAGGATCGGTGGCACAAACCACATCAGGAACCTTATGCCTTGCCTGCCTCTCCTCTCTGGCTCGCTACACATGACCCCGCAAGAACCGCAAAGCCAAGTCAGGCTCACGGCAGCCTCTGCAGGCATGGCACAGCCGAAGGCTCTTGATCCTCAGCAGGCAGAGCAGCAAGGGCTGTCCTCACGTGGTTTAGTGTTTACACATGGCACTGGACTTGCTCTACCTGCCTTAGATGAGTAGCAGCTGCTATTGGCTCCGCTCCTGGAGACCAAATTGTTCAGGCAGGCCCAGGGGAGCCTGGGCCAGCCTGCTGCCATCTCGCTTCTGGCAACACCAAACAACGTGGACATACGGAGAGGAGGCCTCGGAAAAGGAAGGACGCCTCTCTCTTGGACGTCAGTACAATTAAAGCAGGAACACTGGGGAATATGACAATATTGACTGTGCAAGAGAAATGCTGAACGGTATGTTGAAATGAGGAAGGGCATACCGCAAATCTCGATTAAAGAACAGGGAAAAACAAAACAAAACAAACACCAAGACGCAGGAACCTCGATCTATTTAACAAAACAAAAGAAACATGCAGAGACGAAGCAGGTCGTCAGTCTGGCCCTATGAATACCGAAACGCAACAGAATTGTACATATTAGAAAAGGCACTTTATTTCAGTAAATATACAACAAGATTCAAAAGCTGGGTTCAGAAGCCGGAAACGAAAGCTAAATGAGTTTACGCTAGAAACGTCTAGAATTTTAACAGTGATAAAGTACTTAAACACCGACATAAGGTTCTGTTAAATGGAAAACATTGAATCAAGACGGCATTGGCCTTTATCCTAACAGCTTTGCGTTAGTTCAAACAGGAGTGGATGCTAACAAGTCTTTGAAGTTATGCAGAATGAACTAAATAAGCATAACTGCGCCCCTTCGAAAAGGGGCGAAATTCCAGACTGGGAGCAGAACGTCACTTTTTTCCCTCCATCAGATTTGGCTGAGCAGAGATCTGCTGTGCTTTCTAAACAGGAATGCTACGCAGATTACTTAACACTATTGCAGAAAAGGCTGCCTAGATATTATGTTAATACTTCACCATCCTATAGCTGAAATAATTTTGTATTTAATCGTGTTACTGTTTAACTAGGTTGGTGTGGCCTAGAACAACTGCATGAAACTATACTAGGACACAAGTAACCTGTCCGGTTATAGAGCATCAGACACTAACACTGTGTGTGTATATATGTGCATGTGTCTCACAGATAAGCGTTACTATATAAATGGATGGTAGATCTCTCTTTGCTGACCTGATCCAGAGTCTGTGCAACCTCAGGAGGCTATTTCGACTTCATGACTTCAGGTGATGACGACTTGTCCAAAAATGTGGAGTACACCCTACTACTCTTGGTAAAGGGTAACTGCGTGCATGCTGTAGACTCCCTGGCAATATGCTGTTTTGCTCTGGCTAGAACCAAGAGAAAAAGTACCTCTATATGCCTATAGGTCAACTAAGGGAACACAGAATGTTAAAAAAGCTTCGCGTCCTTAATTCCAAAGAATTGAATCATTTCTTTTATTAAATATAAGTGATTTTTCAATGCAACGTGAGCTTCCTGCAAGGCGGATCTTTCTAAACATCCTTATCTTAAAGGGCACAACACAATGACCAGGCTGTGCTTCCTACAATTCTGCAGACACCTGTCCTGGTGGGACCCTGTGAAGTCTCGGCTAGGGAATGCTTCGGCACAGGCAAACGCAAGAAAAAGGGAGGAACAGAAGCACATGAGGGTCTAGGCCTTCCATGAGGTTCCGCAATGTTTGGGAGAAGAGAGCAACACACAAAATAAACAGAAAGTAATTTGGTGCATTGGAAGAGAAAGAAAGTACAAAACGAGAAAAATCACTCGTGGGTGCTAACAGCAGGTTTAATTGGCCAAAGCTTGAAGTATCCTTCAAAGACGGGGAGTGCCTCTTTTTAGAAGTTTTCTTCTCTTCAGCATCTTGCAGAGAAAAGCAAGATGCAAGCAGCCTTCTATGCCACGTGGCAAACGCCTTTGAGAAGACTTTCACAACCTTTACGACTGAAGTTTTAAGGAGGTTATAAACTTTGAGAGCGTGAGCCTACAAACCAGAATGAAAGCTCCAAAACGAAAGAAACAGGAAGTGAGCTAAAAGCTGCTCGGAGAAGGCAGCTATGCTTGTTTGTGCTACTGTGACTTCTGCTGCAGCTATGCAGCCACTCTTGCCAAAGGGTGATGTCATGTGGAAAGCTCCTCCAGTGAAATGCTACACCTCTGCATCTGAAGGGGTACAATCCAGTCTCAAAGTCTTTTACAGCACTCTGAGCTTTTTGTCTAAAGAGACATCCCAAGCAGCACTGCCATTTTCCATGCAAGTCTGTGTTGCAATATATCACCTACAGCGTGAAAGACTGGGGGAAAAAAAAAAAAAAAACAAAAACACGGTTTGGGAGCAAGACAGGGTTTTTGAGGGGAAAGAATTCCACATGCTTATGTACGTGGCAACACTTCGCACAACCTTTTCATTTTTAATTTAGCCAGGAGAGAATGTCATAAATTATCATGGTCTCGCTGCACACAGAGACTTCTGTGCAAACCATAAAATGCGTAGTTAGACAAGATGGCAAGGGTTTTTTGGTGCTTGTTTTGTAGATTCTAATCTAACAAATTAGAATAGATTTTTTTTTTTTTTTTTTTTAAGAAAGATTAATCCCATCCAGGAGCACTGAAAATATTCAACACATTCTGTAAAGGTACTTTACAGCTGTGTCTAAAATACATTTACCATGTCATTCTCTGCAACGTCAGGCCCACTTAGAGAGAACAAGGGAGATCTTTGTACAAGCTCAAGGGAGTAACAGAGCTAAACTGATTTCCCGCAACAAAGACAATTTACAAAGGCATAATTCTTTTTTAAGCAAAGACAAGAAAGAGACAAAAAAAGCCAAGTGCAATTGGTTGAAGGAAACGCAATACACAAGACTTTATGACAAAACTGCATTATATTCGGTGAACTTACACCACGGATCAGCCCTATCTGGCAGTGTCACATGCACAGTTAAGCAGGAAGCTCCAGTAATAGTAATCATGGGGATGGTCACCTTCCTCGATCCCAGCTAATCTTTCTGTTCACAGGGCAAGAAAAGAAAGGGAGCTCTCTGGGAAGGCGACAACCCAGCAGTGCCAAACGAGACAGAATGGTAGACAAGCATCCCTTGCAAGTGCGCGTGCTCCGGGGCTGCACTGTGCTCAGAGTGCCCCACGGGCCACGGATACTTCGCTCCACATGAGGGGCCAAGGAAATTCCAAGGATTCTAGCACGTAAAAGGAAGAACGGAAACTCTTACGTGGGATTCCTACCACGATCTTTTTGGTCAGGAGACTCCATGAGGAAAACCTTCCGACGGCCCTTAAATCTGAACGCAAAAGCTGCCAAAGCTATTTGGGCAACCAATATGTTTCTCTCTGACAAGTTTTCTTTTTTCCCTTTAGTCGGTGGGTTGAAATCTGTGGATGAGGCTTTAGACATGTTTTTCACCATAAACAGTGAAGATCAGTGCTACATGTGTGCTGAAATCTGCAAACACCAGCATTTCTTAAGGGCTTACATACCGTAACTTCCTATGATGCAAAATAAAGCAAACAAACAAACAAAATCGCTTTACATCCATTAAAAAGGGCAAAATCACTTTAGGTAAGGACGACAACCGCAACAAAACTGAAGAGAAAACTCTTGGCTTAAATCTTTTCTACCCTTTGTTACAAAATATTGACGCTTTCAGATAAAAGAATGTCTTGGTTTTATGCTTTGCCTTTTTTTTCCTTTTTTCTCTGAACTGCCACAATCCTGCAAAGCCAATTTGCTCCCTCGCCTCGATAGGAGACAGGCCTTTTAAAGCAAATATTGCTGTATTTTGTTTCAAGTGTCTAACAGAGCAAAAGGAGAGTCATTGCAGTAAGAAGCAATGAAACAAAGGAGGACGACGTTGATGGACTTCCCAAGGTCGCTGCAGGTGCCAGACAATGGTTCCCAGGAGGGGAAAACATGGTTGTTTAAAAACAAATTTGGTGCATATGGCAAGCGTGGATGTTTCCCGTGAGGTCCCAGGTGACATGTATGAAGACAGACACAGGAAAAGAACAAGGGGGAGAGGAAAGGGGTAGGGAAGAAAGGACGAGGAAGAAGAAAGAAAAGAGAGAAAAATAGATAAAAAAAATTAGGTCATAAATATAGAAAACATAAGAATCAAAGGTTTACTTAGTTTAGTAAATTAAAGTGGCTAAAGGTTAGAGAAGAGCATTAGCACATCCACATCGACAAAAGGGTTGGTTCAGAAGCTCAGCAATGCCAAAAGCTGCAGAGCAGGTTCCAAGTCAGGGTTTATGGGGTTGGCAAGCAGATGAGATTAAAATGAATGACAGAATATGAGGCTCCGTGAGAAATGCAAGAAAATCATTATTTGGTATTTGAAAGGACAACACCACAGCCATTTAAAAAAAAAAAAAAAGCCTTTAAGCCTTTCCAAAGCAGACATTGCACCTAACAAGTTCTTCCCCAAAGCCTGTACCAAGGACTTGGATTGCAGATCCTGGTGAGCAGTATAGCCCTGCAAAAGGAAGACAGACTCAAGAACACAGGGCTCACTTTTCCAATAAGTCTCTCAGCTCCCTGAACCCTACTCTAAGGCAATAGTTTCTACAATACCCTTATGCCTCCAAGCACTTAAAGGACACTGTGAAAACTGTGCAGGCGTCAGGACAGAGACATCGGTTCTGATCTCTCCCCTTCTGTAGCTCCTTTCAACATCGAAATCCCAAAGCGAAACTCTGTGAAAACGGCACGAGATGGTAAAGCAAACGAATACAGCAAGTTCCCTTCTTGCTGCAAATTGACATAGCTGCCTTCATTTCAAGGGAGGCCTGTGATTTACACGTCAGAAACATCTAGCTGCCTCAGGGGCGATTTTCCCTAGCATGATTCGTTTGGGGATTGACTCGAGGAACCAAAGCGTCTGAGAATACCTCCGAAAACCTAGCAAAACCCGGCCGGCTCCAAAATGGGAAAGCCAGAGAAGGGGAGTCACACGTCTAGCAGAGCTAGCATGGAATTCAGTGCACGGTGCTCAACTTCCCTGGGAAGCAAGGCACGTGCCTTCAGAGAATCGAACTGCATCAGTGCGCTGCGTCAGTCCTGCGGGAAACCTGCACTCTGAAAAGGGGCTGCTTGTTCAAGTGCTCCCCCGGGGGCCTTTACTACTGCAGATTTTAAAACGGCGGCCTCAAATTCTGATTCCTACTGTGATTCACATCAGATTAAGTGTGGAATAATTACCGGGAGACCTAAGAAATTACAGCAGCGGGACGCATCTGGGCATTTTTCATCCTTCCACCCGTTTGGAGCGCGAGCTCGCTGCTTCTCCCATTGCTAGGGGCTCCTGCACAAACACTGTGCATTTCAGAGAAGAGACAGCTCTCTCCGATCACTACTACACCTGTACAAAACATCCAGCTGTCCCAGGTACATCGCGACACCCCAGTGGAGCATCTAAGACAGGCTAAGAGAGAGCATCTGCACAGGACATTAGTACTGGCTCTCCACACTCCCACGGTGACCAGCCCTTGGCCTTTTTCCCCAGGCTGCTACACCACGGTGCTAAGGAGCAGCTCGGCCCTGCTCCCAGCCTTCTGCCTGCTTGACTACTCAGCCCGGGGAAACCCTCAAGGAGCACTGTTCCCAGCTACCCTTACCTTCCCACCACCAACACATCAGTTACAGTTGTCCTTCAAAGAGGTGACAGTAGTAAGTATTAGAGCTGGTGAAAATGCACGTCAGAATGTAAGTTGTTTAATGTGTTACTGAAGGTCCTTTCATCCAGGACGAGAGCCTTGTTACAAAACACATCTCCAAATCTCTCGTGCCCCACGTCCCCCCCCGTCCCTGCCAGACATATTTTCACGTCCAAGTACCTAGGTCACTCTATGGACGCTTTGTTATGTGATTGAATCGAGTAGAATTTCAACATGCATCCAGCAAAAGCCCTCAGCTTCAACCTTCAGAGAGGGAAGAAGGAGGGAATGCAGAGGCCAAGGGAAGCAGACCAAGGATTGATGTTTCAGCGCAAGGGAAAGACTGCGAAAACATTTTAGCTGTTTTGAGGAAAAACGCAGGACTTGCCGTTAAGCATCTGGAGGACAGCGTGAAATCAAATCTCTCCCTTTGACACGGACTGTCAACACCAATCTTGGTATGTGTATGCCTAAGTCTGGCTCTGCGGGGAGGGACTGGCTTTGCTGACTGACCAACTCAGCAGCTTTCAAATTGGGTTTTTCTCACCGCTATACTTGTGCCTTGCTTTTTAAGGAGAGCCCCTTAATAGGTGAAGTCTGTCTGAAATAGCTTCCAGCAAGACACTGATGCTGTCTGGTTCTTTCTCCCTACTGGGCCATGCAATGTTTAAGCGAGGCTCTTTTCAGAATTGCTTTCATCCGATGCCCATTTCATTCCATAAAAATCCTCCATGAAGATCTTAAATTCCTCCCTTCCCGAGCTCTGCCTGCAAGGACTGAACTGGCTGGACAAAGGGGCAGTAAGCAAGCTCAAAGCAGATTTGGAAGGGAAACCTGCATTGCGAAAAGCATCGCCTCAGAGATCTGAACGCTCTCTCTTCGCTTTGCTTTGAACCAGAAAGCCCTCTTCCCGTTTTCAAAAAGTGCTTTCTGCCTGCTGCTTTTCGCATTGGGCAATCCTGCCACTGTGATACAAAGAGCCAGCGTTCCTTGTAAACAGTGAGGCAAGATTTGGCACGTACCATTCTCATCAGCGTCCTTGTAATGCTGTACATACTGTAACACGGACTGTAGTACAGGTATGTACACGGCAGAACTAAGCTCTGGATGGGTAACCAATTATGATAATGGCTTTAAGCAAGCAAGTTGTCTGGGTTTACTCAGGCACATTGAGGGCTGCAGCACTGTTGCATTAATTGGAAGCAGAACACAATGGTAAAGCTAGTGGCCATCATACCTGGAATGACAGTAGGCTGAGCAGACGTTCGGAAAGCATAGTGCGCGGGCTTGGACTTCCCTTGCTGGTTTTCGGCTATCACGTAGACCTCGTACTCTGCGTTCCAGTCCAGGGACTTGAGCATGACGTGGTCGCTGCCCGAGGGAAGTCTGATCTCCGGTTTCCACTCCGAAGAGTGCTTCTGTGGAACACATGGCACCAAGTCAGTCCGCTCGGAGATGAGGGTGACGGCGAGCTAACCTCTGAAGGTCCTGCCCTTAACTCTTCCAGGCTCCCAGACCTCTAGATGGGACTAGAACGCACTAGCAGGCTCCTCCGTCTCCACTAGGATTTGCAGTTGGGTCACACTCGATTGCCCTTTAGAAAGTCTGAAGAACCTCCCCTGGGGAGCTCTGAGCAAGCCACCAGAGAAGCCCAAAAGGAGGGTAAGCAACAATTATCTCTTTTATCAAAAATCTTGTCATTTCCTGACCATAGGGTAAAGCTTGCTCTGTGACCTTCAGGGTTTTTTTTTTTTTTTTCCAGTATAGAAAGAAACAATTATCTAATAGCCACTAGAGAAGTACTTCATGAGCTACCAGGCACAAAAGCGTGCCTGCTCTCTTAATAGCCGGGAAGCATCCATGTTTTAGTAAAAAACAGTGGTGTAGCTGGGCTGCCCCAGGTGTATTAATGCTGAGACAAAACGAACAGACAATAGAACAAAGCTTCAGTCATTTCTTGCAATTCTTCCCATTGCTCTAAGGGTCTCTGGATTTTCAGGGACCTTCTGCGAAGAGTGCATTACTCAAGGACGTGTTAAATAAACACCCGGTGCGAGAGACTGCTTAAGTTATTTGCTGGGGTAGGAACAAAAGCCAATGCCAACTAACACAAAACAAGGGGTGTTTAGCTCACGGCAATGAGCTCTTGTTTACTTAGGCCAGAATGACTTGCTTCAAATAGAATCTGCCATACGGCCATAGATATGGACCCTTTTACCTTACCTGCGTCTCTGCAAAATACCTTTGCTCTCTTACTCAGTCTTTCATTCTCTTATTGGATCTCTTATTCTATCATCTGCAGAATGATGCAGTTACTGAAACATCCACTATGCAATAAAATACGACAACTGGAACGCCACGTTGCCGTTAGACGTGTGTCTCCAGTCCAACAACGCTCGCTACTGGGAGGCTCTGATCCCAGGCAATTCTAATTGTTGCTGGTATTCTTGTTTCTGCAGTACACGATGTGCAGGCAACTGCAACAGGCACACATCTCCTCTGCTGGAGATGCTTACCACAGCGGACCAGTCTTTCATAACCAAAGCCAAGGAAAAGGCAAACGAGGCAAAAGATTTGGGATGTCGCTCCTTTTCATGTTACGCCTCTTCTCCTGGCCATGACCATCCCATCTGCTTGGCATACTTTCTGGAACTGACCTACCTGCACTTTCTTTGCTTTAGGGTTGTCTGCTGTGGCAGTGGCCTGTACAATGAAGCCTGAGTATGGAAGAGGCTAAATACAATCGGGCTTGAGTGTCAGGCATACTTACAGCTTTGTATTTGATCAGGTAATGTCTAATTGGGGAGCCACCATCATCCTGCTTGATAACATTCACTTTAATGGAGTTTCCATCTTCGCCCATCTGACCTTCCAGTTTGGGTGCACTGGGTTCCCCTGAAATAATGGTGGATTTATGGTTAATCGTTCAACAACTTCATTAGGAGGACAGAGGCAGTAATCAAAATGGGCAAAAATGGTTCATTAGACTGTGCCACCAGCATGTCAGCTCCACTCCGACTCAGTACATTATGCGTGTCTAGTGACGAAAGTATTTGTGGGGGTTAATATATATAAATTAGAAATAAAGACACAGACATCTTGTCCATGTATTTTAAAAGTTTCCTTGCAGACATACTGCAGCATGTTGTATTACTGAAGACATATGCTTTCTACCCCTGGGATCAGTTGGTTCCAAAGTGCTTTGAAACCTGTGAACTCACTGTGAAAGAAATCCAAATGGTAAAAGAACAACTCTGTGCCCAAAAGGACAGACAGTTCAGGTTCCGCTAACCTTCACGCTGAGTTGGGGTGCTTGCTTTGTTCCATTTTACGGAAGGGCAAGAAGGAACCATTTATCAGTAACGATTGGTGTTAAGGAACAATCGCAACAAACCACCAAAACCACCCTGAAGATACTTCCTGTGAGGACGTTTCTGTCTCATCTCCCTAGCACAGGTTGAGAAAGCCAGCAGACAACGGCACTACACTGTCGCTTGCCGGAGGCCTAATGAACGAGCACTAGAGAGAAAATTACCATCACGCATCGCAAAACGAGAAGGCAGCTATTTCTCGCTAGCCTAACAGACCCGTGCGATGCAACTTGAAACCCTGGCGGCAGCGGGAGCACATGCCAGACAGCTCGGAACAGCCTCCCCACTGAGGAGCGTTGACCACAGCTCATACTGCTGCTCCTTGCAGCTGCCGAGAGAAAGAAGCAAGGAGCTGTCCTTCTCCTGCTCCCCCTGGGAACTCACTTCTGTGAGCCAAAAGGACACAGCGCACACACACTCCAAAGGGAACAAGAATATGTTCATGAGCAGGGCTCACGAAGAAGGCCCACGGAGCGACGAGGGGACAAAACAGGACTGGGACAAAAAGACAGAACAAAACTCTGCAGTGCAAACTTGCCACCACTGGTGGTTTTACACGGAGCGCTGGGTCTGTGAAATCAGAAATCTCAAGCCGTAGCATTTTTCTCGACATAAGATGGGCAAAAAACCACATGTTTAACTCCCTCTCCTTTGTTCTACTACGCCCTGCTTTCTGAATCCGCACTCCTAAGAAAGCATAGGCAGTGACTTCTCCTTCATGCTAAATACTGCATCTCCAGTGTAGGATTCTTTCTGGGAAAGTCTGTGTCTTATGAGCAGTGCTCAAATGGGGGATCCCAAAATGCCAGCAAAAATTACACCTAAATAAATAAAGGTGGTCCCGCCGGACCCTATAGCTCATTCCATTTTCACTCCATGCTAAATGCCAGCCTTTTCTTCAGCATCGTTCATGTTTTGCTATCCTTTCTGAAGATGCACCACTAAAGAAAAAAGCTAGGGCTGTCTCACTTCGGCCTGGAAGTTGGGACCCAGAATAAGCAAACCACCCACCAATGCCATTTGCCCTCGCAAACTGAGCCGTTTACTTGGAAGCTACTCCGCAGCTGTTAAATAGAAACACTGCTACACGACTATCTACATCTTCGGCCATCTGAGCAGCTCCAATGCCTTGTAGCTCCAATGCAGGACTAACTGCCAGAGCAAAGTCATTTTTCAGGAAACCAAATGTCATTTTGAAGATTTAACGTGCCCATGTTGTGCTCTGCTGGGCACCCCGAATTCCAATACGCTTCCCAAATCCGGGGGCTCCAAACTGTTGCACGGGTCTGGTGGTGCTCTCCCACTCTAGTTCAGAGCAATTTGCAGCTCTGCTAAAGCACCTGTCTTCGCTTGCAGTGCTCCTTCTGATGTGGACAGTGGCTGTTCTTCTATGTGTCAGCATAATCCAGAAGTCTGCCAAAGGCAGTTGAATGATGATCCAACTCTGAACGTACCCACGCAAGAACAACACCAAGGCGCTGAAATGCTAACATTTAGAACTGAAAAGCCTGACCATATCAAATGGAACACTCGACCAGTACCCTGAAATGCCAGCTATCTGTGACTTAAAAGCTCAGGCTGCTGCCTGGAGTAGAGCACTGTAATACTTGGTGCGGTTGTGTTTCTCTGAAAGCGTAGGGAAACACTGAGCCTACAGTTACACTAAGACAAACCGTATATTCTAGCAGCTACCTTTATCCATGGGCAGTTAGGAGCTCCTTTCAATCCCAAAAGGGTTCTCAATCCTAAACCCATCCTGTCATTCAGCTGCTAATGGAAAGCATATGCAGTTTTGCTACGATGGAAAATGTTCATCTTTCCATATCTTTCAATGGTCATCTTCAGAAGCAGTTTCAACCCAAAGTTCTTCTGCCCCCTCTCCCACGCCCCTAGATAAAAAGAAATCAAGTAGGTTTTCTTGTTTTGTTTTGTTTTTTGGTGAAACAGCAATGAATAAGGCACGAGGGTCTAGCCTGATTTCCTTGCAGGTTGGCACACGCTCTGGCTAACGTACCAGGTGCTCCAAGAAGGTAATTACAATCCCATGCATATACGAAGTTCTTTGGCTTGACACACACATGTCTGTCATTTCACAGTGCACTCTGTTTTCCTGAAGATACAGAGACTGAACGCCCCTTTCTTGGAATCTGAATTTTCCTTTCCAATCCCTTGCGTCTGCCTACATCCTCATCTGAAGACTCCCAAGACAGCAGGAGCGGACACTCACGAGCTTCTTTCTACCCTGCAAAAGCTTCCCGAGGGACAGAACCATGAAAAAACAAATGTAACAACGTTGTTACCTTGTAAGGTGACCCCGGAGCTGCTCCTGCGCGGATCTCCAGTGTGCTCTGAAACTGCGAGCACGCAGGAGATGGCTTTTGTGTTTGTGTTACTAGAGCTACTCTGCACTCCACCGGAGTGGGGCCGATTCAGAGAACACAGGGCCACGTGTCATGTCCCAGGAAAGGACAGAGAATGTCATGAGTCACCAAAGACTGATGACCAATGAATTTGATGAAGAGATATTTTGTCTACCACAAGCTTATCAAGGCCATATGCTTGCAAATCTCTTTCCAGGATCAATTGCTCCAGGAATTCTGAATGCCAAGAAGGTAAACACCGTCACGGACTAAGAATTAAATGTTAACTACCACTAAAAATTCAAGCTGGAGAAGCTATTATTGAAATAATTACATCAGGACTATTAGCCAATAATTAAACAAACGCAGAGCGAATGTCTGGTTGTGTCTCTCTCCACTGAAGACCCCAGCTCTCAGTAATACCTGAGAGTGTTCCTGCCTTGCGGCTTTTGCTGTGCACTGAGCCACCCTAGGTGGCCGAAATACTCCAGAGCAGCAATGCTCAATTCCGACCTCGTGTAGCTGTGCATCCGGCAGACTTTGGTAATACTTCCAAGGTAGAAGACCAGTATCTTCTTCATACTCTTTCCCATACTCAACTCCACAGAGAGACAATTACTAATAGATAAAGAGATCCTGTAGCGGTAGGGAGAGACTAATCATAGAGTTTGCCCTCTTAACTGACACAGGCCAGAACATTTTTTTTTCCCCAAATTCAGCATCAAGGCTAGTACTTAATGTGCCTCTCCTTGCAGAAAGAGTCCCCCAAAGAGAAAACACAGACCACTCCTGTAAAACAGCGAGTGTGGCAGTGCAGGCCCACGTACATGTTGCTTTGCAGCTTTCTCTCAAGAATACAAAGCATTTCCCTAAAACGGGCACATGTAATCCGGATATAGGGCTGTAAAATAAAAATGGGTTAGTATGTAATTTTAATAAAAGGAGGAAGAAGTTTAGCGGGAGAAGTTTAGTCCAGCAGAAGCAGCATTCCTATCATGAGTCAACGGTCAGTAGCTAGAGGAAAAAGGTCGTCAGGTTAGAGAAGAAATTCATGCTCACAGAACATGCATCCTCCCTACAGGAAGGGAGCTGGAAAGGCCAAAGTGCATTACAAAGGAGGCTTACATGCCTGGGGGTCTCCCATTTACACTGAGCCGCTAGACACATTGCAGAAATCTGCATGTTGCAACCACACAGCTTGGGATCCTTAAAGAATCCTCCTTGTGATGATGCTCATCGAGTTACTGCGAGCACAGAACTCCAAGACAGTCAGACGTGCCCTGGAAAACTGTTTTACAAACACTGACCTGCTCAGAATTCGTTCCGCTGCAGGAGGAGGAATGCAGGATCTTTTGCTTCCATCATACGGTGCTGAAGTCGAGCAAACACGTGTTACCCAGGACACCCATCGAATGGTGCTCTGACTACGCACTGTCCCATGAGGAGAGCACGACCCTTATTCAGGCCAGCAACAAGAGTAGTGTAATGGCAGGTGGAACTTGCCGGAGGGTGGGAGGAATCAAGCAAGTTAAAATGCCACCCACACACTTTACTTGGCTGGAGAGATGGGAAGGTTTCCACGCGGAGAGAGAAAGTTTGCAGGCTTGCGCTATTTTGCGGCCTTTGCTAGAGCTAGGCCACTTTCCCTCGATTTGAGTTTCCCCCATGGGCCTTTCTTGCACCAAAGACAGTGAAAATAAATCAAATGCGTGCTTTATCTCCAAGAAGGTTTTATCGATATGCATGGTGCGATACCATTTTTCCCAACTTCAACTACTTTTGACCAATCTTTCCCTCTAGAGCCCAACTGAAGAAGGCTCAGGAAAGCCTGTATTTTGAAAGGCACCCGACTTGGAGCTCCAAGAGGGTGCTCCCTCCGAAGGTGTCACCCTGCCATCGCCCAGCTGGGAATAAGCTAGCATTAAATCTCCCTGGAGCCTTCTGGCAAAGCAGTACTGCACTTCCTCGACCTAATACTAGACTGACTCGCTTGAGATTTTACAAGAAATTCCTTGTTTTTAGCCATCTGTTTTTCACAGATAGTCCCATGTAGCAGAGCTGGATACAGCTGCAGGGAAAAAACTGGAGCTGAGAAGAGAATACGGGAGAGCAACACAAACTGTTCCCTAGGCCCGGGACACTGCAGGCATGCTGCTAAACCCCA